AGAAATGATACAAAATCTACAGACACAAATCCAGAAGATTAAAACTAAATTTTCAGAAATAGATAAGGCATTGAATGGGCCAAGGAGCAGAACTGAATCAATGGAAGACAGAATTAATGAGATTGAAGGCAAATACCTGAACACTTCTTTGGAAAGGGATAAATCAGAAAAAAGATCAAAACAAAATGAAGAAAAGCCTAAGGTTCATGTGGGATACCATCAAAAGGAATATCCTATGTGTAATCAGAATTCCAGAACAGGAAGAGACCAATGAAACCACAGAGAAAATTGTTGAAGATTTATTGGAAGAGAATTTTCCTGGTATGATGAAAGATGAGAATATATCCATTCAGGAAGTCCAGTGAACCCCAAACATGATAGACCCCAAAAGAAAATCACTCAGACATATCATCATCCAACTTACCAAAACTAAAGACAAAGAAAGAATCATGAGAGCAGCACATGAAAAACAATTACCTACAAGGGGCAACCAATAAGACTAAGCTCAGATTTCTCAGCAGAAACCATGCAGGCAAGAAGACAATGGGATGGTATATATAAAACCATGAAAGAGAAAAATTTCTAACCAAGAATTATGTACCCAGCAAAACTGTCCATCAAATATGATGGTGAAATCAGTACATTTCCAGATAAGCAGAAATTAAGGGAATTTGTTAAAACCAGACCAACCTTACAAGAGATGCTAAAAGGAGCCCTTTGGACAGAAAAACAACAGCCAACAACAACTGACTATTAACACACATGATGATATAACCCAGAAACCAACCCAGCTATGGAAGTATCTAAAGTAAATAAGTGCCCTAAGCCTTCTGATAAAGAAGTGATTAATTTCTATTAGAATAAAAAAGGGAAATTTTCATGGAGCATTGGAGCTGAGTGTTGAAGAATGAGTAGATAAGGAAGAGAGGAAAAGGAATAAAGATATACAGTCAATAATGGTATCGCACATTTGAGAAAAAGCCAGTAATCTGATGGTGCTAAGCTTTATGTAAGTGGGAGAATTAAATAAGAAAGGAAGTCAAATGTAAGCTGAGGTCAGATAATGTGAGTTCTGAAAGTCCACAGAGTGTGGGAAATTGGGGAGCTACTGAAATTTGTTCAGTTGTTGTTAATTGCTGGTGACCTGATGTGTAGAGCAAAATTGCTCTGTAGGGTTGTCAAGGCTGTGACCTTTCAGAAGCAGATCGCCTGGCCTGTCTTTTGAGGTATCTCTGGGTGGGTTTAAACCACTGACCTTTCAGCTAGCAGTCCAGCCACCCAGGGATAAAAACAGAGCAACAAATAAAATAAAGGTAACTGACTTTCCTGTACACAAACCCTTGTTCATATCGCTAATTCTTGCCTTAGAATAATTTATCAAAAACTGAATTACTCTTTCTTTCAAAATTGTTTTTATATGCAGTATGGTGGTTATGTTTTTGTGTCAACTTGGCTAGGCATGGATGAGCGGCTGGGCAGCTGGATGTAGTTATTCTCCATAGTGAGACTGGCAATTAATTCCATGGTAAAATCTACTGGAGCAGCTGAGTAGCTGCTTTAGGGATGTGGTCTGCTTCCAGTATATAAGTGGCAGCTTTGAGGAAGGTCTCCAGGTTTTTGGCACACTTGCACCCTGCATGCAGCTGAGTCTTCTTCATTCAGTAGCCTGCCATGTTCTGTCAATCTTGGGACTTTCCTGATCTTGGGACTTTCAATGGACTTCAATTAATGGCCTGCCATGTGGTTTGGTAACATCGGGACTGTGCTGTTTTACTTGTTGACCCTGAGTTTGCCAGCCTCAGCAGCCAGTAGCTGCCTGAGTGAAGAGATGCCTCTAGCTTCTGTGGGCTGGGAGCAAGAGGCAGAGCTGAAGCCCAAGTTCGAGGGGCTTTCACTTAGCCCCTAGAAGCTGGCCCTTTGAACTCGGACTCCTAGCCTCCAAAATTGTAAGAGAATAAACTCCTGTTTGTTCAAGCTATCTCATTCGTGGTATATTCCTGTCAGAGTGGAACTAGGTAACAAAAACAGGCCCCTAGCTACCCTTCGGGTACAGAATTAAACTCACTCCTGTGACTTCCAGCCAAACAATAGGCAGGCATATGGGGTGAACATTTATATCAGGTAGATACACTACTTGGAGCCATCAATCATGGGAGAACAGACGGGTAGTGTTTGCACAGGGAGACTGCTCAGAGGATGGGAGTGTATGGGTGGGAAGGACACAGGGAAGAGTTGGAAGAGAGCTGTTACACTGTGGGGAATTGCAGTCAATTCATAAGACAAAAGGTGTATGAACTGCTGTATGGAAAATGATTTTGCTCTGTCAACTTCCACCCAAATCACAATAAATTAAAAAAAAAATCTAAATGCTTTATCAAACTCGGTATATAAGGCCCTGGAAGATCTGGCTTCTTCCTCCACCAGACACTTTTCTCCTCATTTGCTCTGCACCTGCACTGGCCTTCCTTTGGTTTCTGAACTCATGCAGCCCTTTCCTACCACAGTCTTTGTGCATGCCATCATCCTTGCCCATTTGTCACATGGGACTCCTTCTCACACTTTGGTTCTCACTTTAAATATCTCTTCAGAGATATGATCTCTGACCATCTTTTTTTTTTTTTTATGTTTTTATTTTTATGCTTATTCTCTCATAGCATTTATTCTAATTTATAATTATTGTTCATTATCTGTTTTTCCTACCAGACTGTAGGAAACAAGGATAATCATATATGCCTTTTTATCACCGTATTCCACACAATTATATAGCACTTGGTACTTAGCACAGGCCCGATAAATATATGAATGAATGTCAGGATTTAAAGAACAAAGAGAGAAACACTGTATTAACCAATCCATCAGCTACAGCATCTATTATTCCTACTAGTACAGTGGCTATCTCAGCACAATGCATAAGAGGGTACTAAATACTGCCAATTAGATGATTCACTCTATTATATATTCACTCTTCCAGTGGTGAACATGTGCTGTCCTAGCACTTATAGTGTCACAGACCTGAGGGTTAGGGAAGCAGTTCATCTTCCTCACCCTACCAGACGGCAAATCAACAAAACTAGCTCTACAAAGCTGAATTGGAAGCAGGACACAATTCTTTCAGCCATGTTTTCATTTGAAGTACGTGACTTTACCTTTCTTCTGTTCTCTCATGGACCTCATCCACAATGATATGAGTAATCCCTTGAAGAACTGTGTCTCCTTCTAGCCTTCTCAGCAGCACTCCTGTAGTGCAGTATAACAGTCTGGTGGCTGAGGACTTACATGTAAAAGGCAAAATAATGCATTCATGAAGTTTTTGAAAAAAGGAAACACTTTACTGGCAAGCTACTTTGAATAGACAGAATTAAAGAATACTGAAAACAACAACAGTTCCATTTAATATGAAACCATACTAACCACTCTTGCTTTCATAACAATGAAAGTTTCTCTATTTCATACTAGAATTTTAAGTTTCAGACTCTCATAAAATGAATTAAAAATTATAATACATATAAACAATACTGAGTAATGAGATCAATTCTGAATTTGTTTGCTTTATTTAGTTAAACGGATTAAGACTCATGTTTCAAGAACAAGACAGCACCTACCTATTAGACCACTCTACTAATAAAAAATAAAAGGCCTTTATAATGAAAATTAAGAATAACCAAATAAGAGCTCTTAAATCAAAATATTTCTAAAAGGACTTTAGCCCTAGTAAAGGTAGCCATTGATTTAAAATGACCTGAAAGCACATGCCCTAAGTTTTTCATGCATCTCCAGACTCTAAGAACTCTTATACAGGCATATCTTGTTTCATTGCATTTTGCAGCTAAGGTGATTTTCACAAATTGAGGGTTTGTGACAACTGTGATTTGAGCAAGTCTACTGGCACCATTTTTCCAACATCATGTGCTTACTTTGTGTCTCTGTGTCACATTTTGGAATTCTCACAATATTTCAAACTTTTTCATAATGGTTTTGCACGCTTAATAGACTACAATACAGTACATGTATTGGGAAACCAAAATATTTGTGTAACTCTCTTTATTGCAATATTTGCTTTATTGCAGTGTTCTGGAACCAAACTTGCAATATTTCCAAGTTATGCCTGTAGTTGGAAATTGTAAATTTCTGTTATGTGAAAATAAGCAGAGCATACAAACCTTGACGCTTTCCAACCGTATCTGGTATCCCACAGTCAGACCCACCCTCTCTGCTCTTTCTTTAGCAACACGTTCAGCAACAGAGATTGCAGAGATTCGTCGGGGTTGGGTACAGATGATGTTAGCTACCTTATCAGGTGGCCCGTTCAAAGAATCATCCAGAATAAATTGTGGAATCTGTGTAGTTTTTCCACATCTGTATGTCAAAACAAAAATGTCCTAAAATAAGTTTTTAAGGGCTACAGAAGGGACTGATCATATATAACGAAAAGTGATAAAAGTTATAGCTGCTCCGCTTCACCTATCTTCTAAACTACCATACTCCTTGCCATTGAGTTGATTCCAACTCAGCAACTCTATAGGAAAGACTTCCAAGCCTGTAAATCTTTATAGCAGCAGACTGCCATATCTTTCTCCCACGGATTGGCTTGTGGGTTCAAACTGCCGAACTTTTGGTTAGCAGCTGAGCAATTAGCCACTGTGCCATCAGAGCTCATTCTTCTAAAACTATTCTACATTAATTACCTAGAGTTGATGAATCCTGGGACTCTGCATTCAGATTATCAAGACAATCACATAACTGTTTAACATCACTTGTACAATTGGAACTATTGAACAGGCATGCGACTAAGGTCTGTGAATGCCTCTAAGAATGTAAGCTTCTCTACATACGAATTCTAAAGAAATAGGGATATTAGCTTATGATTATTAAAATACTTTGTATACTTTCCTTTGATGTATACTCATTTGGATATAAATGGACTGTGGTTAAAAAGATAAGAAACAGGGAGATACATGGTTACTACTATATCAGTGAGTCTGGGTACAAATGTTAACTACTAAACTGTATACCGATCACTAAAAGTCAAAGCCACCTCGAAGGCATGTAACACCACCACACCACCATCCTTGAATGAAAACTAAATTAAGCCTGCAATTTGTCCCTGTAAACAGGTTTGCATAACGTTTGGAGAGTGTGAAACAGGAAATATAATGTGGCTTAAGTTGTTCTTAAAAGAACAGATAAAAATTCTAAGTGAATAAAAAAAATTCAGAAAATTGAAAAGTTTTCAAGTTAAATGTCCTGAAATTGAGCTTTGAAATTTGAACATGGGCCTTGTTAAGAGTATTTAGCTGGAACCCTTGCCTCAAAGGCAGAACTACACAAGATCTAAGCAGGCTTTGTGGCACAATAACCAAAAGGCTGAGATCTAACTCACCCAGTGGCTCCTGGGGAGAAAAAAAATCTGGTGATCTGCTCCCATAAAGATTTCAGCCTAGAAAACTCTACGGGCAATTCTATTTTGTCACACTGGGTCATCATGAATTGAAATTGATTCAATAGCACCTAACAACAATGTACAAGGTCTATAAATTCTTAGATAGATTTCTAAGTTTTCTTTTCTTTTTTTTTTTTTAACTTTTTATAATGTGGCTCTGTTGGCTACAGAAATTAAAATATTAGCATCTGTATAATATCGTTTAATATTTGACAGGAAAAAGCTCAAATAAAAACCAGCTACTGGTTTTTTAAAAGTAGAACTGGTTACGGTAACCAGGGCATGTATATTTATAATGAAAGGTGCATTATGAATAAATTGCATTCTTACCCAGTCATACCACTTATGACAAGCACTTGGTGCTTGCCCAACAATTTAAGAATGGTTTTTCTCTCTTCCCAAGCAGGGAGTGACTGTCTTTCTTGTAGAATTGACTGGAACTGTCTGCAAGCCTAATAAAATCAAAGAGAGGGGCATCTGTCAGGTTGCTTTAATCACCCTTTACAAAGCTCTAAATCTGGAATTCCACCATTGGACCCACCCTTTCGTTCTCTCTTTGAAAACTTGTTCAGAGACAGAGATTGTGGAGATTTGTTGGGATTGGGTACAGATGACGTTAGTCTGAAGGCTGCCAGAAGAATCAGCCAGGATACATTTACAGAGTCTGTGTGGTTTTCCCACATCCGAATAAATGTTAAAATCTTATAAGTAAACCTCTCTCACTTAGCACCCATCCAGGTCTTCCTAGCAAGAGTTTCTGTATCAACACCCCTAGAGCTTCTGTGCTGATGAAATGTACTGTATCCATACTGTCCAATACAGCAAGCTCTAACCATATTTGGCTACTGAGCACTTAAAATGTGGCTAATGCAACTGAGGAACTGCATTTTTAATTTTACTGAACTCGAATTAGATTTAAATAGTCACATGTGGCTAGGACAGCACAGTTTTGTACATTAACAGATTTTTACCCAAATCAATAATAGTAAGAGTGCTTCCTAAAATGTTCTTCCCAGCCATTTACCACATCTATATAACTCAGTCTGTTATCTAATGGTCAATATTATAAACACTGCATTGTACATTAAAACAGTAGAGGTATTTTTGAATAATACAAGAAATTTACACTAACGTCATTTCTTGCAAATAACTTTAACATATAAATTCATTATCTCTAAACACACTGATCAAAAATACATGATTTTTTTGTCTCTGCCATATTTATACTGAGATTTCATGTACTTTTTCATGTTCAAAGGATATTGTACCATAGTTGTGATAGTGTTATATTACGCCAAATTTCAGAATTACAGAACTTTAGAACTGGAAGATTAGACAGCATCTCATTTCCAAAGCAATTAAGCAACTGTCTTTGTCTTATATCCTGCTTTCCCCTAATAGTTTACTTATGGGTTCTTTTAAAATAATCTTCATACGACTGGTATAAAAACAACATGGGATATGGGAACGGAAGAAACTGGCTTTGACCCCAGTGTTGCCACCTGCCAGTTATAAAACCTTGGACAAGTTATTTATCCTCTGAGCATGTGAAATAGGTTAAGAGGCCCTCCTCCTCCTTTTGCATACTGAATTTCTAACATAAATGACAGTTTCCCTTCCACATATCAGATTGTCTATCATAGTATCAAAGATACATGATTCTGAGAATATTTAGATTGTGTGCTATATGTATGTATTTGATATTCACCAGACATTAGATTTTCTAAAACCATTTAGAACATGCATCCAAGCTTGTATGGCATGCAGAAACTCTGACCACTCAGGGTGAAAAAGAACCAAAAGTGTACTAGGGAGGGTAGCCAAAGCTTCCTAATTCCTAACCCCTTCAATCATATATTAGGGAGGCAATGCTAGCCATTTTCTCAGCATACCCTACCTGTTTTATTCGGAACTGCTTGCAGATTTTAGCATTTTCAGCATGTACCGATTTTGCCTGCCAGTCATATCTTTTGGAAATCTTTTTCTTAAGATTCACATAGCTTTCATTCTCCACTATAACTGGTGCAGGACCTTCATCCTCATCTGCCTCCTCCTCAGGTTCTGATTCTTTTTCAACTTGAAGGGGATAAAAGGAAACATTTCGATACGGAACCCTTTCTTTAGCAAAGGAGGAAAGTCACTATCTAACAAAGTAACAACAAAAAAATCATAAAATGGAGAAACAGTTAAAGCTTGATTAAAGCAGTATCATTCATTTTAATACTACTGCTAAAGAACTTAAAATGCATCTTCAAATAAATTTTACTCCAATATAAGTGGTTAACATTAAACCATAAATTAAAAATAAAGTGGTGAAAATAACGGCATGCTTTGTTAATCTAGTAAACTCTTTGCACTCAAGAAAGTAAGTCAAAGTTTCAACTATTTGCAAGTGTCCCTAAAACTCTGACACAAAACAACTCAAATGCTCGTCAACTGATGAATGGATAAACAAAATGTGGTATATCCATATGATGGAATATTATTTAGCAATAAAGGGAATGTTCTTCACCCAAATCACAATTCAAAAAAAAAAAAAAAAAAGTAAATAAATAAATAAAGGAATGAAACACTGATAAATGCTATAAACTGGATAAACCTTCAAAACATTATGCTGAGTGAAAGAAGACAAACACAAAAGATCACATACTGTATGACTGCATTTCTATGAACTGTCTGTAACAGGCAAAATCAGAGAGTCAGAAAGTAGATTAGAGGTTGCCAGGGGTTGAGGGGTAGGAGGGGAATATGGGGAAGGAGTGCTAAGAGGTATGGGGTTTCTTTTTGGGGTGATGAAAATGTTCTAGAACTAGATAGTGGTGTGGTTGCACAAGTCTGTGAATATACTAAAAATCAGTGAATTGTACACTTTAAAAGTGTATGTGAATTAGTTTGATTTCTGGTAAGATGGAGGAATAGGCAGACAAGAAACACAGACCCTCTTCACCAAAGAAAAGAAAAACCAATGGACAGGGATACAAAAGATAATCCTGGAGCTCTGACCTTTGAAAGGAACTATACAGAAGTGGATTAGGCACCAACTAGAAGAAAAACCTGAATGAAAACAGTGAGTACGGAGATGGTTGAAGCTGTAGACTGTCAGCTACTTTGATGGGACCAACAGCCTGAATATTTCCAAGTGGTACTGGGACCTGAGAATTGACCTAAAGATCAGCCCTGGTCACCAAGGGCTTCAGGGATGACTGTGCTGGTGGTCTATGACTAGGAATGGAAACAGCAAGGAGAGAGACAACCTGAGCTGTTGACTTTCCCCTGTCTGGAGGGCACAGCCATTTTGATTGTTTACAAGCCATTTTGAATATTTAAAGTGACTGAGGGCACAGCCATTTTGAATGTTTATAAGTGGCAGCCATTTTGGATATTTAATGTGACTGAGGGCGTAGCTATTTTGAATGTTTACAAGCAGTGGCCATTTGGATATTTAAAGTGACCAAGGGCACAGCCATTTTCAATCTTTACAAGTGGCAACCATTTTGGACTTTAAAGTGATAGCATTCTCATTTGGATTCCAGGGACCTAAGAATAGGCTCTCTTTGCCAAGGTTGGCAGGGACAAATGAGAGGCTGACAACAGGAGACAGGTGGTGAGTGTATAAGTGCTGTCAACTAGCGAACAAAGGAGCACAATACCCTACTTGTGTAGATAACACACAAACAAAACAAAGAAAATGAAAATGGTAGGCAAGTCACTCCAACATACAATCACCAATTAAATATAAACACAAAAAACATCACAATGCCTCGGCGACAATAGAGCATCACAGTCCACACAAAGAAGCAAGATAAAGCAGAAGAAACAAGGGACCAGAATACAGACCCAAAACACATCCCTGAGGAAGATGCAGCATTGGAACTCTCTAATAAGGAATTTGAAAGAATTATATTTAGGTATCTTCAACGAATTGAGAGACAGATCAAGGAAAACACAGAGAAAACCCCTAGAACAATTTCAAAAGATAATACAAGAATCAAATGATAAAATAAATGGAAAATTAGAAATGATACAAAATCTACACACAGTAATCCAGAAGATTAATACTAAATTGTCAGAAATAGATAACACATTGAATGGGCAAAGAAGCAGAACTGAATCAATGGAAGACAGAATTAGGGAGATTG